TTGCGCATCCTACTCGCCGTCGCGGCCACAAAGAAACTACCACTGCGCCAAATCGACGTCACAAATGCCTTCCTGTACGCACCTGTGGACGCCGAAATCTTCGTCGAGCAGCCCCACGGATTCATCGACGACCCCACAAAAGTATGCCAGCTGATAAAATCCCTTTACGGGATCAAGCAAGCCCCGCGGCTCTGGCAGCAGCATCTTCACGGTCGCCTCGTCAGAATCGGATTCTTACAGCTGCCGCGTGACCAAGGCATGTACCGACTGCAGAAGGAAAAAGAGTATATCCTACTCATCGTTTACGTTGACGACTTGCTCTACATCGGTTCCACTACCGACATTGCCACGTGGTTTGAAGGGGAGCTGAAAGGGGACTTGACACTCACGGTGTCCGACACAGTGACCCAGTATCTGGGTCTGAATATCGTCGAAGACAACTCGGCGTTCTACCTATACGCTGGAAAGTACGCAGGCGTTGTCGCAAAGAAGTTTGGACTAACACCAACTACAGTCGCGACTCCCTACCGCTACGGGAACAACAACGACACCTCCGAAAAACTCCGTGCGAAGCAAATCCGGGAGTATCAGCAGAAGCTCGGCTGCCTACTATTCGCAGCAGTAACCTGCCGACCCGACCTATCCTACAGCGCAAGCCAGCTGGCGACGCATCTGAAGCAGTCGGAACAAGAAGATCTCGAAGAACTAAACCGGGCACTACTCTACTTCGTCTCTACGCCGACGACCGGACTTACCTACAGCAAAGTAACAACACCATCCGTACAACTGCTCGGATACGTCGACGCCGACCACGCGGGGGACAGGGAAAATCGACGACCGAGAACGGGCTACATCTACCGACTAGAACCTATCGGGACTATCTCCTGGCAGTCGAGCAAACAGGAACTAATCGCACTATCTTCGGCTGAAGCAGAATATATCGCCCTCTGTACTGCGACCAAGGAAGGACTCTACCTGCGAGAGTTACTTGAGGAAGCAAAGATTGCGACCCTGCCCGTCTTCTCACTCCTCTGCGACAACCAATCTGCGATCAAAATCGCGAACAAGGACGGCTTCGCCAACCGAACCAAGCACATCGCCCTGCGATACTTCTTCGTCAAGGATGAAATCGCGAAGGGGAGACTTCAACTCAGTTACTGCCCTACGACAGAAATGGCCGCAGACTACCTGACGAAGAAACTGGCGAAGGCAAAGTTCGATTACTGCATGCTGCTGACTGGGCAGACAAACGTCACCGGATCTGAACACGTCAGCACTCCAGAAACGAAGGGGAGTGTTGGAAATACCTCAAGGACTTAAGCGTTTCTGAAGTGTAACACGACACTCGAGGAAGGTCGTAACGGGTACGCGAGTCAACGGAGGTTACACGAGGGGATGGACAAAGAACACGAAAGGACTCGAAGGGTCGCAACTGGAGGTTGCGACTGACAGTTACAACTGCAAAGATGGTAACCGAAGCGACAATCGAGTCGCTGTGCGACTCGATAACTGCTCTTTCAACTGTATTCTACAACTGCTTTACTTTCCTATTTTCTATATATTGTTGTATGCTTGTTCTTTTAATCAATCACTTGTTCTCATATACTAGTGCAAGGGTTCAACTACCTCAACTTCCGCTGCACTACTCAAGTCTTTTACAACTGGGACTTAGTCTCTGGAAAGATCCTAAGGGCATTTCTCAGCCCAACACGTTTTTTTTAAAATGAAATTTTGACAATACCCTAGGGTGTTATATACGGGGGAATACGGTATTGGGCTTCGTTTTCGCCCTTGTGCAATCAAACACACATTGGTACACTTGCGCAAAACCGCATGAAAGTCAAAATTTGAACGAGTAATTACCCTTTGAGCACACTTCATGCTTGTTCACCTCGATACTTGGTAGGGACGCAAACTTGCCAAGTTTGTCGAGGCACAGAGTTGAGGTGTTTGAGTCTCATCAACCACTGCTGCGCGTGGGTTTGGTTTCAGTTTATCAAGATGCAGCATCTTGATAAAAAGAGAGTTGCAACCTGCTGGTCGGGCTTTAAGAAGTCAAGCACCCAGTCACTGTTCATCTCAGTGTTCTTGAGTTTGCCCACACCCATTCTGAACGCATTTTTGTGGGGGTCTCGCGTCACTGTTTGTCCCCCCCCCAACCTCCCGCCCCCCATCACTGTTTACGCACGGTTGAACTCGGTTGTTGCCGAAGAAATTCCGTGATGCGATCACGATTCCGCGACTCCGCCAGTATCCTTGTTCGTCAGGGGAACTATGCCGAAATTACTTTCGCCCAGTTTTTTGGGAACTGTTTTCATGGTCAGTAATCATGGTTTTCTACTGTGCCGGGGATGGTTGGATGACTTTGGGCGACCTGACAAGATATGAATTCCAGGGAACTATTCTTGCGTCGTGTCAGAGTCGGATGTCATTTGACTTTGTGGCAAAGGTAGTGTCTTTGGAGTCAAACTGCGTGTCTTGTGATCCCCCGCGCGATTTGTCGCTGAACCGAGAATGCGATCCCATGTACAATAACACGAAGTGTGGGGGCCAGAAACGAAGTCCACGAAATCTACCGCTCGCAATACATGGTAGGTCTGCTACAAATAAATGGATAGCTAAAAAATCGTTGACACTCGGCAACCTCCCCCTCCCAGTGTCTTACGACGTCTGATGTCCGGGGATGACACGCCGCTTGGAATCCTTTGTTTCGACCAGGAGATGCTGCTGCTGCTGCTGCGCCAGTCAGTTGAGTCCCACCCGACCAGACGTACAAGATCTTTCCCCAGGCGACAATTCTTCAGCGGCACCCATGGTTGGGACTGGATTTGCACAAAACGTATTGTTTCACATTCTACCACACACACTCAATCCCTCTGATTGAATGCGGGTTCAGTTGCTTTGCCGTTTACGAAAGTCCTTCAGTTCAGGGTGGCTGCCTTGTTTATTTACACAACTTTACATAATGGCCCAGGAGTGACCAGATATGTGAGAGGTGTTCCTCCAAAAAAAAAATATTATAGACATTTCCCCCCCGTTCTGTTCCTACAGCTGCCAGTGTTGCACAATGTGGGGGTCGAACCTATGCTGATATCCTTCCAAGTCTGGGATGCTCTTATTTCTGTGGTATTTCAATGTTTACCCTTCAAACCCCTGGCGGGATGCCCGGATCCACTATCCCCAGGGGCTTTGCGTACACCCTAAACCTAGTTAACGTCTAATCACGAAACATCACAACCGCACTAACCGTTAGTGCCAAGGTCAACTTCTGATCACGTTGCTCCGAAGCCATTGTGAGTACCCTGTACCCAATGCGACCTCTATTCGATACATCAATGGACGAAAAGGGTAGTTTCCGTCGATTCCATAATGCCTGAGGGGGCTGTTCGCTGGCCAATTTTTCACCGGCACAGCGAGGGAAATCAGGCATGTGGAACATCGATCGAGGCTTCGTTGGTTCGCCGAACCCAATTTGCGAAACATGACGTCAGCATGCGACATCGTCGTCTTGGTTGGGTTTCCCCAAACCAAGGGCCCCCAAATCGCGTGCCCCTTCTCATGCTAAACCCGAAGCGCGACCATCAGCCGCCTAGAGCTGTCAGGCAAACGTCAACATCACTCCGTGCCACATCTCATACTGCAAAATCGTGGTATGAGGCAGGCCAAGATTGGCATGCTCTTTGTCTGGGCAGGTTTACGAAACCCATAAAAAACCCGCAACTTACGCTTGTCCCTTACAGCCACTTCCCCTCCCACCCTACCCATCAATCTGCGCAATTGAGCCAGCCTGTACCCATCCAACCAGCCACATTTTGAAATGTAAAAAAGGGGGCATTTTTTTTTATTAATTTGTGTGAAACGCATTTTCTCCGCAGATTTTCGACGAAAATGCGATGCGCTAACATGGCATTTGATGGACCCCACTCTTCATTGCCCGTGAGTTTGTCGTATCCAGGCCTGCAGTTGCGACCGACGTAATCATGAGCCGACGACGTTATGATTACCAAAGTACTGGGCCACAAAAAAAAAATACGTAGGTTTGGCTACGCAAATTCCATGCACGCGGGATTTGGTCGCCCGTTCCCCTTCCCATTCACCTCTGCAAATTGCCAGCGAACGGCCCCCAGAACTTCCAAAGAGACGATTTTCAGTAGCAAGCGAAAGGATGGAAATACGCGCACCAACATATCAGTTTTACGGGGTCTAATGTGGTGGATATATTTATTGAATACTGCTTGAATCCTCTCCAAAGCTTCAGACTTCTGGGCTCTTGAGTACTCCCTAAAAGCCGTTCTAGGTTCTAGAAATACCGACAGCGGGCGGACCCCTTCGAAGTCACGTAACATCACATTCTGCTTAAAAAAATGCTAACCGCCCTGCCCGAAACGAGGGAATTTAACGAAATTCAAGGTGTATATAGAGATCTCAATTGAATTCAGCCCGTCATTCAAGCTGTACGACAGGCATCCACGTGACACTGCGAAACTCAAAGACTCAGGGTTCTTTCGTTCAGCACGCTGCCCGAGATGTATTAGTCACTTATGCGTGAACAAGCAAAAGTCACCCATGTGAGCTCCATCAGTTTCACTAGTGGAATGATGCCCATCTCTAGAAGGAAGTAATGCCCACCTCTACACGCGAAGTATTTTCATCAGTTTGAAAATACGCACACTTCGCTGCTTCTGCTGCCGCTGCTGCTGCCGTGGTAAAATCAGCTTCCCAACTTGCTTCTCCTGTCCTGCACTCTTCTCCACTTCACTCCAGCTTCTTCCACTGGGGCGCTGCTGGCGGGTTGCTTTTCCGTTGGGACGGATTGTTTGGGACGGGCTGGTTGGGACGGGAGAGCAGGGCGAATTGCTGAAGGTACAATACGGTCTGACAGATTTCATTGAATTATCGTTGTGTTTTAGTGCGGTTAACGGCTTGTTTGACTTGGGACTGTTTGGGGCGGGATGGTTGAGATGAGTCGCCTCGCCTCGCCAGCTTCTTTCTCCTGCTCTGGTTCTTTCTTGAGATCACAGCCTCTCGTTACAGCAAGCCAGTTTGTCTGCTGGGCGTTGATGGCATGGAGAGAGGCCCATTTTGCTACTCTGCTCTGGTTTGCTTGGCTGATTGACGTGACGACAGAAAAACAAAACAGCAAGTATGCTGAATATAGATCGACTGTAAATATGGCAAGAAGTCCGATTTCTTAGGTACGTAAACTGGATGATGACATCGCCGTCTTTCGTTGCTTCCAAAAGACGTCAGGTAATTTCCAGCCTCTATGTCCTTCCCGACACCTAGGCCCATCGTCGTTATCGCTTCATCGCTCGCTTGCAGCTCCGCTCGCCGCATGCGTCGCAGATCGCCGGTGTGAGCTGTCGTTTCGCAGCCGATTTGGTCCATACTGTAGTTCTAAACTGCAGCACAGCACAGGGCAGAACCCCCGGATCGTTCCAAACGAAGCGGTGCACGGTGCATGCACCGCACACGACGACATTGCGGAAGAGGTTGCGCCAATGTGATGTGACCCCACAACGCATCCCAGAACGGGGTTCTACCAACAAGGGGCAATCTCCACCTTGCGGCTCTCTCGACGTGCCTCCTCACGCTTCGCCCACCTTGTGTATTCTCCAGCCACAACCAGGGGAGCAATAGAGTTGTAGCCAGTAGTCGCTGATTCGCTGGCTCTTATTCAGTATACTTATCTGACTCACGCGGTCCGACTCGCTGTCAGGATCTCCTTCTTCGGCCGTCTTTCGCCCTCAAGCCTAACAAGGCAGGCGCCGCCGCCGCGCCGCGCCGCGCCGCCGCGGGCGCGTCTCATCAACACGTAGTAGCGGATCGGGCTGGGGAAAACCCCGTTTGCGAGATCTACGACGGTGTTTCGACTCAAAAGTCAAGGTAATGCCCTCGTCAGGGTGCTTTTAGAGACGTCTCAAACGAAGGTCGGCAGGTGTGTTATGAGTCTATTTTTGAGTCACACTTAGAGACGTCTCAAACGGGGATCGGCAGGGAGAACGGTACTCGAGTCACGGTAATGGTCGGGTTACTTTCGAGTCTGGTCGCTGCCCCATCCCCATCGCCCCCGCGAGTCCCTCGTTCCGTCGTTTCCTCCCCTCCGTCACGGCCGAGGGGTCCATCGTGAATCCTTGTAGTCGTGACGTCACGCCTCGTCGTGTTCTGTCCGCGTGGCTTTTGAGTGGCTAACCGATCCTCGACTCAAAAGTCGCCTCGTCATGTCATGTCCGCGTGGCTAACGACCCTCGCGGAATTCTCGGCTCGTGAAATCCGCAGTAGGATCTCTCTTCGTTTCCCGCTGTAAGTCGGCCAGTCTGTCCCCCGATCTGCCCTCCAGTATCCTCCGAGGACGAGTCGTACACAACCCCTCCCAGTCGTCCCTCGTCCCTCGTCCCTCGTCCCTCGTCCCTCGTCCCTCGTCCCTCGTCCCTCGTCCCTCGTCCCTCTGTCCCCCGACCCCAGTCCGACCCCCTTCCGTATCCTCGTTCCTTTCTCCTCCCAGCCGATGTGAGATTTTGGAGAAATCTGAAAAATCCTTTCTCTCCCCCGACTCCAGGCCAACCTTCCGTATACGAGGAGAGACGAAGGAAAGATCGGCCGAATTCGTTCCTTCTCCTGCGAGCCGTCGCCACGTCGATCGCCGAGTACCGATCGTTTCTTTTCTCCTCCCCTCCCTCCCCCCCCCAAACCCAACCCACTCCCCTCCCCCCCTTCCCCCGCCGTTTCTTTTCTTCCCCGCCCCGTCGTCGTCGGCAGCACCCTCACTTTTTGGATCTCGTCGCACGTCGCGCGAGCGGATCAGATCGGACGGTGGATGTTCAGTCTGAGCTATGTGGGGACCAAACTGGATGAACGGCGACGATATCGAGCTGCTGTAGTAGTTTGACGGTTCGGAGCAGTCGGACCGCGACAGAAGATTACGTACGACTCATCATATTGTCAGACAGAAGATTAGTAGTGACTCGTGTACGTAGCGAATTTCCCAGGCTAGATTGATGACAGACGGATCTGCTTATATCGAGGCGTAACCTAGCAGCGGAGATCTACAGGAAAAGCCTCGGCGTGTCAACGAATTGTAACTGTAGCGCGCGACGAACCTGACATTTCGCCGACTTGGGATTTCAGTTTAAGGTTCTGGCAGGGCGAGTCTGCTGTGTTTCGCATCTGAACAAATTAGGGTTTCGCGCGCGCCACCACATCCCCCCTCCTCCCCCTTGCGGTTTAACCTCCCCAGCTTGAAAACCCGCGCGTGCTGTGCGCACGGATTCCCCTCATCCATCACTTCTGCGCCTGCCGCGCCTGCCGCGTTTGCCGCGCCTGCCGCATTTGCCGCGTCTGCCGCGCCTGCCGCGCCTGCCGCGCCTGCCGCGTGTACGTGTCTCTGCGCGCTTGCGCGTCTGCCGGCGGTCTATTCTCATCGTAGCCGTCCCGCTCTTCGCCTGCCGTTCTCACTACATCCCCGCCTCCGCCTCCGCCTCCGCCTCCCCCACGTTCTCCTCGTATCTGCGCGCCTCTCCCCTTTTCCCCCGCAAACCCGCGGACGTCTATGCCCCTCGGGTTCCCCACGCCGCCCTCCGCAGCATCCATGCAACCTCCGCATCCCCCCTCCGCGGCCGCCCCCTCTCACCCCCTCCCGGTCCCGCAAGTCTCCCCGTACCCTGCGCAAGGACCCCCCTACCCCGCTCCTCCGTCCACTCCCCCTCCCCTCCCCTTTGACATAGTCCCCACCGCGGAGGGGGAGGGGTTCGCGCGGAAGCGGTCAGGGGGAGGGGGAGGGGGGATGGATGGGGGAGCGGGAGTGGGAGGGGGAGGCGGAGCGGGAGGGGGGGAGGAAGTGCTTCTAGATGCGGTGCTGTTAGTACCGTGTTCCAATAGAGTGGGGTCAGGATCGAGTGGGTTAAATCAGGGCGTGTTCAGTCGCCGTGTGGTTGGTGTGGGTGTCGATAGAAACACCAACGCATACCACCACCATCGGCATCAGCAGAACGAGCATAATCAGCACCATCAACAGCAGCAGCAGAGCCAGGGTCATTGGCATCAAAGCGCAGGTGTTTCTTCAGGTGCCACCCTCTTCCCAGGTGCTGTACCTCAGGAGCGGGCCACAGAAGGAGCAGCAGCAGCCGTGGCAGCAGCAGCAGCAGGAGGGGCAGGGAGAGGAGGAGCAGCCGCAGCAACATCAGCAGCAGCAGCAACACCAGCAGCAGCAGCAACACCACCAGCAGCAGCAACACTAGCAGCAGCAGCAACACCAGCAGCAGCAGCAACACCAACGACAGCAGCAGGAGCGCCACTGCCATCCCCTCGATACGCAATGGCCAGGAAGAATAGCCGTGCCTCTGACATCTCATCACACCCGTCGGTTCTTGAGGTAAGTCGTTCCGAGAATCAACTGTTTGGGGCGGTATTGGGTGGGTGCTACTTAAAACCCGCAGCCATGTTGTCCATATGCGCTGCGTATAAACTGGGGTCGTGGGTGTCGCCAATTCGGTGGAAATCTTCGCGAAGGCATTTTTTTTCGTGAAACGAATCACAGGAAGTGAATGCCAACTTGGAATGTGGTCCGTCAGATATTGCCAAAATCGGATTGGACGGTCCACGCGAATTTCGTGGGGTGGGGTTTGGAGTATATGGAAAACTTGGATTCCTGGCCATTAGATGAAGATTGGACGGCTGTGAAATGATGTGCGCATGGAGTTCCAAGATGCTTTGGTCACCCAACTTGTAAGTGACCCCTGGGGTGACGAGAGTCACGTTACCCCTCGACCCCCATGGAGGAGGGGTTTTCAAAACGCACTGCGTTTGAAGGTCGCACCTTGCAATTTGGGCCGCGGGTTTTAAGGCAGTCGGGGTGTGTGACATCTCATCGCTCCCTTAGGTGCTCGAGGTGAGTGGCACCGAATATAACTGTTTGGGGCAGTATTGGATGCTGCTTTAGGCAGTGGCACGAAAGAATGGTCGTGCCTTCGACATATTATCGCACCCCGCCCGCGGTGCTAGGGTTGTCCTCTGGCCGGCCTGTGTTGCCCTTACCTTGCTGCGCTCCTTTGTCTCCCTCCCTTCCAGCTGCCCTTTCGCGTCCTCTCACCCAGGGACCTGGCTGTTGCATCCTGTGTGTTCCGGGTGTGGCGGACAGCTGCCAGCAGTGAGCCCCTCTGGCACCGACCCCGCTTCTCTCTCCTTGACCCTACTTCCCTTGCTTGCATCCCCTCCCCTCAGCTCAACTTCCACGTCCACTCACCCAGGGACCAAGAGTGGAGGACAGCTGCCAGCAGCCAGCAGCTGGCCACATCCTCGCCATTCTCGCCTTATTGCGCCCTCCTCCCCCGTCAGCTCATCCTCCGCATTCTCTCCCCCAGGGACCTTCTAGCCGTTGCGTCCTGTGTGTCCGGGGAGTGGCGGACAGCCACCGGCAGGGAGCAGCAAGCAGCTGACACTGGCACATCCTCGCCATTCTCGCTTCTTTGCATCCCCTCCCCTCAGCTCACCTTGCGCATTCTCTCCCCCAGGGACTTGGCCACAGCAGCGTGTTTTTTTTTAGGCGCCTCAAACATCATTCGCTCTCCCAGGGACCTGGCCACAGCAGCTGTGTATCCCAGGAGTGGAGGACAGCCGCCAGCAGTGAGCCCCTCTGGCGCCAACCCCGCTTCCCTCCCCTCGACTCTTCTTCCCTATCCTCCCCTCACATCCCCTCCCCTCAGCTCACCTTCCGCGTTCCCTCTCCCAAGGACCTGGCAGTGGCAGCATGTGCATCCCGGGAGCGGCGGGCAGTGGCTAGCAGCGGCCAGCAGTGAGGGCCTCTGGCACACCGACACAGCATTGACCTCTGGCCGGCCCTTGCATCATCACAGCCTCCCATTTTTCCCCCATCGCGGCCTCTACCTCCCGCCCTCCAGCTGACGTTCCGCGTGCTCTCACCAAAGGACCTGGCAGTGGCAGCGTGCGTGTCAAGGGAATGGCGGACAGCCGCCAGCAGTGAGCCCCTTTGGCACCGCCACAGCATCGCCCCCTGGCCTGGCTGTCTCTTGACTCTCCTTACTCTTCCCCCCCCCCTTCTCCCCCCTCGTTTGCTCCTCCCTTTCTCCAGCTGACGTTTCGTGTGCTCTCACCAAAAGGCCTAGCAGTGGCAGCGTGCGTGTCAAGAGAATGGCGGACAGCCGCCAGCAGCGAGTCCCTCTGGCTCCGCCACAGCATCGCCCTCTGGCCCGCCCTCGCCAGCCCTGCTGTCGCCCGCCGTGTGTCCGACTCCTGTGGCTTCTACCTCTTCTACAGGTAAAGGGTCCACTACCCCTACAGTAGGTTGGGATTTTCCTCCCCCCCTCTCTCATGTGCCGGTCCTCGCCACCCCTACTGCTGCCCACCATGCCTCTGTCTCGTGTGGCTTCTACCAATTGTATTGGTAAGGCTTGTAGTATCTTATAAGGCTTGTAAGGCTTGTAAGGCTCGTAAGGCTTGTAAGGCTTGTAAGGCTTGTAAGGCTTGGTAAGGCTTGTAAGGCTTGTAAGCCTCACTTGTCCTTCCCCCTTCTTTCCCTCTTTCCCTGCCCTCCTCCCTTCCTCCTCTCCCTCCCTTCCCTTTCTCAGGAAGCGCTTCCTTCGCCCCGGCCGCGCCTCCCCACTCCCCTTTCATCTTGACGACTTGACCTTCTTCTTCGACCTCTCCTTCCACGGCTCGCCCGTCTTCTCGCAAGCATTCAAGTACGAAGGGGGGCGCGCCCTGGTCCCCTTCGCTCACCACACATTCTCGGACCCCTGCGCCATTTTCCCCTCTATCGAGGCACTCGATAAGGACTCGTTTCGGCGGTCTTTGGCAGTAAACTGGACGGTCTTGAGGAGGACGGATGGGAGGGGGTCGTGTTTGGTGCGAGCGTGCCCGGATCGAGTGGGGCAGGCGCTGCTGGTGCTGGATCGAGAGATGCTGCTGCCGCTGCCGACGCAGCAGCAGCAGCAGAGCCAGCGGAGGCAGCAGCAGCGGCAGCAGCGGCTGCACGGGTCAGGGGGGAGTGGGGGCCAGTCGGGTGCTAGTGGTGCTGCTGCTACTGCTGCTCCTACTGATGCTGCTGCTGCTGCTGCTGCTGGTGGAGGGGGAGAGGGCTTGGTGCTGACGCTTGGCTTGGCCTGTGGGGATGGGGCAGCATCAGCAACAGGGAACGGTGGGAGTGCAGTGGAGCCTGCTGCTAGGGGAAACAATGGCGCAGTGGCACACGCACGGCAAGGGCTGGACTCTTCTAGTAGAGATCCTCAAGCTGGCGGAAGAACAGCAGGAGAGGGGGGAGCAGGAGCAGGAGCAGCAGCAGGGGCAGCAGCAGCAGCAGGGGCAGGGGCAGGGGCAGGGGCAGGGGCAGGGGCAGGGGCAGGGGCACAAGGGGGGACCGCACACGAGTCCCAGCAAAGAGTGGGGGGGCCAAAGGAGCAGGTGCAAGTACCGGCACTTAAGATGGTGTTTAACACAGCCTTAGGGGGGCTGGTGGGGCAGGTATTTTATGGCATGATGAAAGTATCTTTCACACTGCCGCTGCAAGAAAAGCTCATACCTGCTGCCAGCAGCAGCAATGCCAACGGCTGCAGCAGCAACAACACAAATTTAATGGGCGCTGCAGCTGCCGCCGCCGCTGCTGCTGCTGGGGTTGCTGCTGCGACTGCTGCGGCGGCAGCAGCAGCAGCAGGAGCAGGAGCAGGGGCTGGAGCAGGGGCAGCAGGTGCGGCAGCAGGAGTGGGGGCCAATGTGGAGATGACACCTGTCAACGTGCTGGCTCGCACGGGGGCCATGGAGGTGAATCTAACAGCTCTCAAGGACCGGCTGGGAGGGACGGTGCGGGTTGATATTGCAGGGAAGGAGTTTCTGCTGGTGCTGTCAGCACTGCAGTGGGAGTGAGGAATGGAGAGGTGGAGAGCAACAAGGACTGAGGAGAGGAAAGGGGAGGCTATTAAGGGCCTCTGAGGGGGACGGTGCGGGTTGATATTGCAGGGAAGGAGGTTTTGGTGGTGCGGTCGGCACGCAGTGGGAGTGAGACTCAGTGTGTGAGGGTGGGTGAGAGAGAGCGAGTGGGGAAGTGAGGGGGAGAGTGAGTGAGAGTGTCTCAAGGACCGGCTGGGTTGATACCTGGGAAGGTATCCCTACCTGGTCTACGGTATGACAGGGAGAGGGGGAAAAAGGCGGTAGAGGTGGAACAGGACAAAGTGAAAGGTGAGAGAGTGAGTGCATGCGTGTGTGGCAGGTGAGAGAGGGCAAGCTAGAGCGAGTGAGTAGCGGGCGAGTGCCGATGAGGAGCAAGCCAGAGTGAGTGAAGGGCAAGCAAGCATGCGTGAGTGGGGATGGGAGGCTGGTTTCTTGGATTGGCTTAGCACAGATTGATGGCGATAGAGCAGAAATACCGTAGCTGTCTGATTTGTAAATTGTAACTGCCACAGCTTTCTAATAGCTATACCGTAGATTCTGATGCAATATGGTGGGGAATGAGCTGTGCAATGTTCCGATCACGCTGGCTGGTTCCTGTTCGTAAATGTGCTACATGTCAACTTATACATATATTGTTATGTAGAAGTTATAGGCTAGATAGGGTATGTTCTTAGTGGGTACAACCCAAACGCTATAGCTCCCTTGTTCTCCATTCTTCTAATAATTCTTTCTAGTCTTACGAATAGGTAGGTCCACCCACCCGCTTCCGCCCTGTGCCGCCACCTATCGGCCCCTCTCGCCCCTAGCTGGCCTTGCGCGCCCTACGGCCCCCTCGCGCCCCTAGCTGGCCCCGCTCGCCCTACGGCCCCGTCGCGCCCCTAGCAGGCCCTGTCGCGCCCCTAGCTGGCCCCGCGCGCCCCTAGCTGGCCCCGTCGCGCCCCTACGGCCCCGTCGCGCCCCTAGCCGGCCCCGTCGCGCCCCTACGGCCCCGTCGCGCCCCTACGGCCCTGTCGTGCCCCTACGGCCCCGTCGCGCGCCTAGCCGGCCCCATCGCGCCCCTACGGCCCCGTCGCGCCCCTACCGGCCCCGCGCGCCACTACGGCCCCTTGCGCCCCTAGCCGGCCCCGTCGCGCCCCCAAACGGATCCTCGCACCCCTAGCCGGCCCCACGCGCCCTTTCTGGCCCCGCTCGCCCTAGCCGGCCCCTTGTGCTCTAGTCGGCCCCTTGCGCCCTAGCCGGCCTCGTCGTCTGAGCCGCCGAACCACCGTGTCCCCGAGCCGCTGAGCCGAGCCGCTGAGCACTCGTGCCGCCGAGCCGCCTAGCCACTGAGCCGCCGAGCCGCCGAGCCGTCATGCCGCTATGCCGCTGCGCCGCTGAGCCGCTGTGCCGCTATCAAACTGTGTGATGGGGGACGACGTTATTCGCTTGGACGCTGAGGGGCACGCGATTGACTTCGCCGCCTGGCTCGTCGACCTTCGCCGGCACCTGACAGGTCAGCGCCAGGATGGGCACTCCCTGGCTATGCATGTTGATGGTTTGCTTCCCCGTCCCCCTGCGCCTGATCCCCTCCCTGCTGACCCTACCACTGCTGAGAGCGAGGCTTTTGCTGCTGCTGCTGTGCTTGCTCGAGCTGTATGGGATTCTCGCGACGCAGTAGCCCAGCTTGCCATTAGCCATGCCCTTCCCCTGTCTGAGCGTCCGCGCTTCACCGCTGTTGCGAACGCCAAGGGGTTCTCGCTGCGATAGTTGAGCGGTACTCTACCCCTCCTTCCACCTCTGCTGGCCGCTTGATCCTACCCATGCTCTTCCCTGATCTTTCTGCTTTCCCCACGGTAGCTGACCTCGCTACTCACTTCCGTGCTCTAGAGACCAGCTACCACTCTGCTATCTCTGCCGCCCAGCTTACTGCCTTCCCCCCACCTTTTTGCACTACCATGTACCTCATCGCCATGTGCCTGCCTGACCGGTTAGCCACTGCCCGCGACCATTTCCTTATTCAGCACCATGCCGACCTCACCCTGACCGCCTTTGTCACTACTCTGTCTGAGATAGAGACTCGCCAGCGCACTATCGCTCAGTCGAGCGGTGTTGCGGCAATCCCTATCTTTCAGGGTTGTGCCCCCACCCAGTGCACGTATGCTGACGTCTCCACTGCAGTTGCCACGACTGCGCCTGCACCTAAGACAGCAGCTGCGGCTTACCCGCAGCAGCGCCAGCGCCGGGGCCGCCGTGGCCCCAAGGGAGGACGTGGAGGTGACGCAAGTGGTGGTGGTGGCAGGGACAGTGTTCTAACGAGGGGGTTGGTGCTGGTGCCCAGGAGCAGCAGCAGTCGCCGCAGTCACAGCCGCCGTAGTCGCAGCTGACGCAGTCGCTGCCGCCGCGGTAGCAGCAGCCGTCACAGTAGCAGCAGCAGCAACCGTGGGCTCGTCTCCCGCCCAGGTGGCCAGGAGCCCCTCGCAGCTCGACGTCCATCGGCAGCTTCGGTGCTGTGAGCTGCCAATACCAGCCTATGACCGGGCCCCTGCTGTCACAAGATCGAATGACTCGAGGAAAGATTGCACTATCGATCAGTACAAGGCGCTTTTATACTTCCAGAGTACATCAGGTAACCAGGTTTATCTTATCCTAAGGGAATAGACCCTTCTAGAAGATAGAATCACCCTGCGTATAGCCACGCGAAGCTATTGGTTTTAAGGGATTACGGCACGATTACGCTAGATATAGCGCACCAGTACATCCCAAGCCTGGTCGGTAATATAATTATAATAGCAGGATAAACCAAAGGTTAATGGAAAATGGAGAATAGGAAATCAAATGAGATGGGATAAAAAGAGAAATGGAAGAGGAAGGAATTAAGAAAAGGGACAAGTGGTGTAACGGGGTTGTACTCTCACACTTCCCCCCCTCAAAGCTGGGTGGTAGAAGTAACACCCTGCTTGACAAGGTAGTCATGCAGAGGACGACGAGCGTTACCCATGTCGGACTCAGGGACCCAGCTGTCCTCAGAAGGATCATAACCCTTCCAACGGATGAGAAGCTCCACGGCGCCATTCCGACGTCGGCGGTGTGCAGGTGCAGGTCCCATTTGGAGATCTCGTCCTTGCAGGCTGCTCGGAGGAGTTGCTCAACAATTTGGTTGAGGAGATCGGTCTGTTCGTCTGTCTGCGGATAGTAAGCGGATGACATGGCGAGTTTGGTTCCGAGACGAAGAGTTGTGCTGTCTCCTCGGTGCGTGCCGTTGTGTGTGTCGGGATGAAGTGTCCCATTTTGGAGAACTTGTCGATGACGACAAGGATTGCGTCATGACCGCTGATGGTAGGCGGTAATCCGGTGATGAAGTCCAGGCTAACCACTTGCCATGGTTGTTCTGGGACAGGAAGAGGCTGCAGTAGTCCCGCCTTTTTGTGCTTGCTGCTCTTCATCCGCTGACATGTATCACACGAGGTGACAAACTTCTGAACATCCTCTGCCAAGTGGGGCCAATAGGTTTGTTTTGCGATACCGGTCAGCGTCTTGTTGCTACCGAAGTGTCCGGCGTATAGGACGTCGTGGTATTCTTCGAGTAGTAACTGGCGCAAAGGAGGGTAATTGGGTACCCAGATTTTTGTTGATTCTTTCCGGTACGCGATGTCCCTGTCCCACTGTAGCAGATGTCGCTTTTCAGCCAAGGGAATTTCGGGGTCGATGGCGTACCCGTGTGTGAAGAGTCCCTTAAGGAGTCGATTCATCCCTTCGACCTGAATATCGGCAACGTGTGCAGGCCGGCTGAGGGTGTCTGCTTTGTTTTTGTGGCCGGGCTTGTACACGATGTCGTAGTGGAAGTGTGTCTCGAGGAAGTCGATCCACCGGACCTGCCGCCTGGAAAGGTTGGGTTGTGTCTTTAGTGGTCAGTGGTCAGTGTAGACGGTTGTTCTTCGTCCTTCAAGATAACATCTCCACACATTGAAGGCGATGACGATGGCAAGGGCCTCTTTGTCGTGTATCGGGTAGTTTAGTTCTGCCCCATGCAGTTTCTTGCTGAGTTAGGCGATTGGTTGCAGTCCATTTCCTTGGTCTTGCATCAAGACTGCTCCCACTGCCTGGTCACTAGCGTCAGCTTCGATGACGTAGTCGCGTTCGGGATCTGGCAAGATGAGTACGGGTGCGGACGTGAGTGCTTGCTTCAGGTGCTCCACGGCTTCCTGGTGCCTCAATTCCCATTTGTAGGGCGTGTTCTTCTTCAGTAGATTCGTGAGTGGTGCTGCGAGTTTCGCATACTGTGGCACGCACCTGTTGTAATAATTCGCAAAGCCTAGGAACTGCTACAACTCCTTCACGTTCTCGAGTGTCTTCCACGGACGTACGGCTTCGATTTTCTTGGGGTTGACGTGAACTCCTTGAGCGCTCACTATGTGTCCTAGGAACTGGACCTTCTCAAGGGCGAATTCGCTCTTGGACAGTTTGACGTAGAACTGTTCGCGTCGAAGAATTTCGAAGACGCGTCGCACGTGTTCGACGTGCTGCTTCATGTCGCGCGAGTAGATGAGGATGTCGTCCAGGTACACCACCACGCACTCGTCCAAAAGTGGTCGTAGAATGTGGTTCATGTCGGCTTGGAACGTTGCCGGTGCGTTGGTGAGTCCGAACAGCATTACCAAATACTCGTACGATCCATACCGAGTTCGGAAAGCAGTTTTGTGGATAGAGTTGTCCGCCATCCGTATCTGCCAGTATCCGGACCGCAGATCCAGTTTGGAAAATACCGTAGCTCCCCGAAGTTGGTCAAGCAGGTCATCGATTCGCGGTATCGGATATTTATTCTTGATGGTCTGCTTGTTAAGAGCTCGGTAGTCGATGCACATGCGCAGGCTTCCGTCCGGTTTCGGTGTGAAGAGTACTGGGGCACCGTATGGCGAAGTAGATGGTCGGATGAGTCTTTTGGCTAGGAGGTACTCAATCTGTTTTTTCATGTCGGTCAGCTCCGTAGGGCTGAGCCGATATGGTGCTCGGAAGGTCGGCTTCGAACCCGGTTCCTCCACGATCTCGTGTTGATGTGTGCGGTATGGCGGTAGCTCGTTCGGAAGATCGTCAGGAAGAATGTCTTGGAACTCCTTCAATAATTCCTTGACCTTTCCCGGAGGTTCCGAGGTCTCCTCTCCGTCGTTCTCTACCTCTGTTGCTATCGCCAGGAACCTGGTGTCGGTTCGGTTCACGTCCTTCTCGAATCGTGCGAGTGTCTCCACTTGGATATCTCCTGTATCGTCCCAGTTGGGTAGCTGTACTCTCCGTCCATTGTTGTAGATGCTTGCGGTGCGATTCACCCAGTTGATCTCGGGGTTGAATCTTTTCAAGAAGTCTCGCCCGAAGATCAAGTCAAGCCCTTTGATGTTGGTGATGGGGAGTGCAGGTCTCCAGCGCAGTGGCCCGATTTGTAGGTGTAGCACTGCTTCGCCGTGTACTGGTAACTTGCTGCCGTCCACCATCGTTGCAGAAAACCCTTAAGGCTTGCACTCTTCTCGAAGTCGGTCGATGGTTGCCTTGTCGCATACAGTATGCGATGCTCCACTGTCCACGAGTGCTTGGAGGCATCGTCCTTTGCAGATGACCTCGAGCACGAGGGGCAGGCGTTGCTCGGAGTACCCAAAGATAGTCTCATTGATTGGGTCATAGGG